GGCCATCATAAATAGCTTGCTCTTATATTTGTCTAAGCGTATATTCCATTAACGGGATGTAATAGAAAAAAAAATCTGTTTAAAATCTGTTTTTCCGTTAACTAGCTATCGCACCCCCTACGAACGACAACCCTCAGAAGTCTAAACTTGTGCGAGCTATAGATTAACGAGGTATCACTTATCAACGTGTGATACCTTTTGATATTTGATATTTGAAAATGTGTTTCTTATAGTAATAACCAATGTTTTCGTTAAGATTGATGTTATAATTTTTGAATCCAGTTGTCACCCACTTCGTGGTCCATTCGATTAGGAGTGAATCAAAGTGAAAACAAAGTTAACAACTGTTTGAAGTTTTTTGTTAAACACCCTTGATAACTTTAATACGGAATTGGAATATGCAGTTCAATTTTATATTGAGCCCCCGACAGGATACTCGTAGTGTTATCTTCATTTGGATAGCTAAATAAACTCTTACCACTTTATAAAACAAAAAGTTATTACTATGGAATCTTTACTGAGTTTGTTTTGTGACTACTAGATGTCGGGACTAGCTGTATTATTATACTATAGAAACAACAGATATATAAAAATTACCCTAGAATAAGGTCATTATATAGGCAGTGACCATTGATACACTTGAAGCTCACTTTGTAAATACAACAGGGAAAGTGACACATTGTTTCTGAGGAGATCGTTTTTCACAAATTTCAAAATTAAGCTGATAATATAATGAACAAATTGAAACTTCTCTTTTTTCTCTATGTCGATTACTCAAAGAGTAGTGTGGAAACATGGTTTTCGTTATGTTAGATTCAGTTCCCAGAAGAGCAAAAGAGATCAGCCTCATCAGCATGAACCTGAAATTGTACAACGAATTGAATACGGATCCAATACTAGGAATGTCAGTGTATAATACAGTCCGTCAGAACAATTTCTATAACAGCTTCAAAACTATCACATCAAACAGAGGGGACTGGAAAAACGGTCAACCTTTCAAGGCGGAAAAAACTTGATGTAGGAACAGACGGCTCAAAAACCTAAGAAGGAGGAGGAGCCTGTATATATGAAAGCAGAGCGAAGACGAGAGTCGCAATCCTTCCCCGTTAATGGATGAACAATTTTTCATCCAACCCACCCCAGCCAGGTAGGGGTATATCGTGAAGGGCGGTACTGATGACTGAGGACCTTCATACCGCCACCACCTCTCAGTCATGCAAGGCCATGATGGGCCCAGAACTCTCCTGTGGAATGGTGGATGCAAGTATACAAATATCTATCAATTCGTAGATGCAAGCTGAATCGCTAAATTGGTGGAACAAACTTTCAGGAATGAGGCAGGCAGAAAAGTTCATAAGAGAATACTCGGCTGAATTCACAGAAGAAGACCTGCTAAATTACAACCGCAACGTTGTGAGGGGTGTGGTTGGTCTCCTAACGAGGCATGGTCGTTTCATGCAACATATGAACATTATGGGCCTGGCGGAAGGGATTCCATGTAGGTTTTTCCAGAAGAAGAAAGCGCACTACACGTGCTATGAGAAGTGTCGAATTTATTGAAACTATTCTCTCCCAACGCTCACTAGAATACGAGGTCAAAGCACACCATACGGTATGGGGGAGCATCGAGATCAACGCAAAAGGTGAGTCACTATTATAATATGTCTCAGGAGACGCGTTTATTATGGTAGGGAACAACCTTTTTCACTACTGCTCAGAAAGAAGTCTTGGATCTGACAGTAAGTATGAGCAGGGTGATTGTATAGAGAACTGGACGGTATCGGATGAGCTGTCGTGCTTCGATCACAGGCACATACGATTCGGCGTAGTGAAACCATCCCAAGACTGGGGTGGTGTTAGCAAAGCGTTAGTGTTAGCGAAGCGTTAGCAAGGCTGGTACATGGGAGATGCAGGAATGAGAAACCAGAGGCTATCAGCTATATATATAGTTGCCAATATCAAGGCTTTGAAGTTTGATTAATAACGTCAAGCTAGATAAATAACTCTGATGACCAAGGAGCATCACAATAGATCTGCAAAGGTCGCAGTGAAGCATGTCAGCTTCTTTATAATCTAATCTAATATTCTCCACTCACATACATACAAGCGATTGAACCTGATGGGAGTTCTTTCAACCATGAGAGTAGGACGGTATTCATTGTGTAAAAAAGGAAAACTCATTCAATATCGATATTTTTTCTTTCAACTCCGCAGCCTCTACCCAGACTACTCTGTTAAAATAGTTGTACTGATTATTGGAGTCGGTGTAATGATGGCATCCCTCCTTTCAAACCTCAAGATCATGCCGCCTTCCCTCACTAAGGCATACATTTTGGTCAGATAAATATACAAGGCTGTTATTCTTGGCGCCTACTTGAACCCATTGCATACTTATCTCACGATATAGAAAGTAATCCCGACCGACGCCACCTTTAAGGTAAAAAAGTAAGAGTAACACTTTGTTTTGAGTTCATTATCATGTTCGGTTCATTTGATTTCATGCTGAAGGTCATGAAAAAATACTTTGTAGAAACTATATCCGAATTGATTTACCATACATATTACCGTAGCTTTTAGTTTGGTAAGAACGAATACCATCGTTGTTCAATTTTGTAAATTATTATTGACATATTCAAACTTACAGTTTGGCATTTAGAATCAATGTCTCTTTTAGAATCATGCGAACAGATCATTACACATAATGAAAGAAAGGTCTCTTGTGATTTTACTAACTATATATTCGGTACTATTTTTTTGTAATTTATTGTAGATGAAATAATGTTAAAAATGTTTATATTTATCAGTAAATAAGAACGAATAAAATATTTTGTTACCTCTACATTCTCTATATTTTCATCATTATTGTTAACTAGTTTTTTATACTGTATATAACATAAATTTTGTTGTTTCAATATTTCATTTCATTACTTCGGAGGAATTGAAGACAAATATTTTTAATACCGAACTTTGAGAAGTACACTACTTATTCATTCATTACATTGTGTGGCGTTCCTATGAATGATGTCTGTTTCATTCACTGTTTAATTCAGTGTTGATATAAAAGTAGTTGTTTCAAAAATTATTATTTTTTGTGTAATTCAATACTCTTGTGAATGTAGTAGAATACGCTTTTTCTTCTGGTTTGAAGATGGAGAATTAGAAAGCCAGAACGCCTCTTTTCCGAATACTAAATAAACTACCTTAAAAAATATCTTTTTCAGTCAAATAAAAATAATTATTTACATTGTAGATGTAAACAGGCACTGCTGAGTAGTTAAGAAAAAAACATGAAAAGTATCTTTGGGTGATCAGCAGAACGGAAGTTATTCCAATATTTCAATAAAATTTATCATCATCTTCAAGGAAAAGTTACAAAAATTTATATGATAATCATACATTTTTTGGAAATTTACAAAAAGGTTGAAACTTACTATTGAGGAGGATGGTCATGTCAAAAAGGATGTGAAATTTATACTTGTATTATTCATTTGTATAAATTTCATTACGAAAAAACATTTCAAAATCAGGTTTGAAGGTCATTTTTGATGATGCCTAGTTCCTTTTCGAGACCTTCCTTTGTATTACAGAGCCCGAAAGCACGGTCTACTAGAGTCTTGATGATTCCACTCTTAGTCGATTGATGGTGGCTGGATACCTGGTACAGATACTCTCCCGAGTGAGTGGGTTTTCGGTATACAAATGTTTCCCAGTTAGTGTCGGTCCTCTTCACCAATACGTCTAAGAATGGCAATTTGTTGTGGACTTCCTTCTCCAATGTGAAAGTGATGGAAGGACTTACGTTGTTGATGTGCTTCAGGAAGGTGTCTAGTTCTGCATTCCCATGGATCCATATTATGAAGGTTTCATCCACGTATCTCAACCAGACTCGGGGCTTCTTGTGGGCTTCTTCAATTGCCAGAGTTTCAAACCACTTCATAAATATTTTGACTATAACTGATGAAAGTATCGATCCCATTTCTTGTTAATGATTTTTAAAATTTTTCCTCTAGTGTTAATATTTCAATTTTTTGGTTGTTGCTTGTATTTTATTTTATTGTAATTTTAGTTTTTTGCTTTATATAATTGTTACTTTTCAGCTAATATTTTTAATTTTTTACATATTCTTTTAGGGATTTTAAATAAATTGTCAACCACCTTCGAACAAACGTTATTTCGCTTAACCCCAAACATAGTTGCAGATATTATGGGTATGTTGGTGTCGAGATGTGTTTTGGAATATTTTTATCGTATCATTTATCAGATTATTCGTGGATAATCATTTCTTGAAAGCAAGCTGTAGAAATCTACTGTTGTGAACTATGTTATGATTCCCGAGAAAAGTTGAGAATAAAAGGTGAACTGTGCATTTTATTGAAGGTATAATGCATCATAACACTTAACAAATATTGATTAATACCCAGATCATAATCGCGGTGAATCAACAAATTTCAAGATATTTCGAAATCAGTGTAAATATTTGCCTGTAAAATTCGACATCTCAGAATTGAATTCAGGGCAAATCCGTGTATAAACAATTCGAAACCAAATCCGGTTCGTACTCCAGACATCTTTTGATAGGTTTTCAACCTTCCTAGATATAACCCAAAGTCCTTCGTGATATTAGCCAGGGGAGTAGTTTTTTCCGATAGGTGTCAGTCGATTAACCTACAATGTAGGTGAGTTGAGACTGGCCTGAAAGGATTGTTCTTTCAGATAATTTGATTTTGAAGTCATTTGATTTCTTAAAATGTCCATTTTTACAAGCTTTTATTCAACTTGCAATATTTTCATATGCATGTGTGCGAGTGTGTTTATAGGTATGTATGGTTAGCTAAGTGACGCCATTGTATATCCAAAATGATGGGCTAGTTGTGTTTTATGCACCTCCATGGTATGAGTATCAAATAAAAGGGTTTGCTGAAAAGAAAACGAATCTTGATCCAGAATGGTGAACGATATTGCAAACTGCGATGAGAATGATTAAATAAAATGATTCAACAATAACTTAAAATAATTTATTACTGCAGTATTGCTTGTGGAATACTGAGGAATTCACAATTTGAGTACTTAAATTCCTATATTATACAACCTACTAACAAACATCTGAACTAAATATGCATAATTACTGTACATTTCCATCTGAAAAAATCAGGAAAATAAAATGATATAAATTATGTATAACACAAGTCGTGTTAATCTGAAGCAGGGCCAAATGATGAAATTTGGACATGCTTCGGATTTTGGAACATTTTCAAAATGTCTTAAAATGAAGTTGAAGGAGATCGTGGACTTTGATGGTGTAGAAAATAAATAAATGTTAATTAAAATCTGAATGATTGTAAAACTAATTTAAAGACACACAAAATTGTATCTACAGAATATTACCAGGATTTCTTTGAAAATCTCCATTGAAATCCCGATGAACCGTATGTCCACGAACTCGAGTTGCAAAACTGAGTATACGAGTATGAATAAATTGATCTAGAGGAGAAATTTTGTCAGAGGTAAGTACTCTGATTTCCAAGATGTGTTCAATTTTTCATTGTTCATAAAACTTTTGGCAATATACCTAGAAAATAAAGAAATCACACAAAAAAGAGTAATTGAAATTACGAGTAATTGAATTCAAACCTGAATATTGATTTCTATGCAGATATTCAGTTTGATGAAAAATGAGTTTTTCTTAAATTTTCATGGCTGTATGGCTGAAAACTTTTGAATTCTGATTAAGATTTAAATCCGTACAATCGTGAATAAACATTCGGAATCAATTTTGAATGGTTGAATGTTTTCTGATTTATTATAAAAACTTTGTTTTCGTCAGCTTTCTCTTCAAGTGAATTATTTTGAACGGATATTGAGATCACTCTTTGTTTTTCAATAATTCGTAAATAAAATTTTAACAAAAGTTGTATTTACCTGGACACAAAAATTTGTTTTGATTTTTTCCAACTGATGCCGAATTAAAAACTTTTCTGTTAGTTCCTACATTTGCACTTATAATATTCACTCTCTTTTGCTACGTAATACTGTTTGTTTCACTTTCTCCTCAGTTTTAGTGAACTATCTCATCTGCCAATTGAAGGCACATCGAAGAAAAAAATAATAAATGGAAAGGTTTGATTTATCTACAATAACTTTTTTGATCAATGATGCTTTTAAATATCACGTACCTACACACATACTGAATAGTCTAAGTAAAATAATTCAGATAAAATATTATATACACTGTGGATAGTGCTCGACCTGTATGATATTGGCAAAAACTGATCTAAATACTACTGCATTTCAATAAAAATGTCGTAATATTATCGGTACTGGTCCCTTTCTTCTAGAAGACTGCGTATCCAAACTCATCGAGGGTCAGTTAGAATGCCTGGAACAAAATGGAAAAATTAGAAAATTTCTCAACAATGGAAAACATTGTTGTGAAAAAACTAATAATAATGATCTTTAATAGATGTGCCACATATTACAACATACATAAGAATGCAAATAAGAGGCTACTTGGCAATTGGTAGTGAATTGAACAAGTGAAATATTGTTTTCTATGATATATCATCTATTCTAAAAAAGTAATATAACTTTATATTTCATTTTCGGGGATTGTTGAACGTTTTGGTCATTTTGTCGTGAAATTTGATTGAGGATATCAAGTGAGAGCCTGTAGTCCAAAAACATATAAACTGCCGCAAGATTATTCAAGAGTCAACTCTCAAATTCAGTTAATTTGATAAATGGGTTCTTCCAGTTGTTTATTAGCACATTTCATCAACTCATACATATATTAGTTATTTTTATTCCACAACGAATGTTTGAAATACAAACTGAGTAGAGAAAAGTATCTTCTGTATAATTCAGTGTTCATATAGAAGTATTTGTTTCGAAAGAATTCTTTTCTCTCGTATAATTCAATGTTTATGTGAAAGTAGCTGTTTCAGGAGGACTTTCTTTCAGTTTATGTCTGAAAGTTACTTCTTTTCATGATCTATATGATACTTATTTTCAAATTGATTACTTCCTTCCTTTCTTTGGAAGATTCCCTCATCCCCTTTTTTTGTATTAAGATGAAGTATTAGAAAGCCAAAAACTTTCTTTCCCAAAAACTCGAATTCGTTTCTGAATAAAATTTTCTGTTCAACTCAAGTAAGCTGCATTTAGATTAGGTTTGAAGAGAGTGATTGTATTCGTGTCTCCACTGTAATCCGTATCTTATACCAATTCAAACTATACCGAATAGGTGAAGACGATGGTGAATGATCTTGTAAGCTCGATAGTGAGAATGAAACTTTGCCAGCCATTGAAAATCTTTTTCGGTTCGCAGCGGGGCGGGCACAAATTATACTCTCTGATGTTTCGTTATCTTCCAAATAGAGACGTCATACCAAATCTCAGTCCAAGTCATTTCATATGTTGATCCAGACGACAGTGACAAGCCAGTAGACTTGTTAGATAACGTAGATCATCGGTGACGTAATTATGACTGATTTTGCCAGAAGTATGAAACTTTTGTAGTCCAGGTATTCAGTGTTTGCTTGAAAAAACCTAAAGCAATACCAATGAACGGTCGGGTTCATTGAAATCGCTTGAGGTGCCCTCCCTTGTGAGAGACAATCAGGCAAGGCCATCTAGCGAGCTTCGCCTGAGCTGAGTTTTCGACAATTCATGCAATTGCTCTACTCATATATGTAATCATTGGTCTGAAAATCCTCATATATATTCGATAGATTTTTCAGGCCCCCAAGCCCAATATTTTCCATAGTCTGGCTTTGCTTGAACTCTTTTCAAGTAAGTGTTATAATAGGTTTTCTTCTTATCGAGGATGATATCTAGATATTTCACGTTTGTTTTATCATTGAAGAAAGTGGAAATTTCTATCATCCAAATACTCATCTAGTGCTCTTATTCCTCCTTCTTGCACCAACTATGAACCTCGTCCGTAGGTTGGTAGGTTGGAGGATAAGCACATGAAGTGGAAGATGCATAGTAAGTCCTCATAATGAATTACTATTCAATTAGATTCCAACACAAATTTGAAGTATACTGGTTTTTCCTTTTTAGCAAGTCTTTGATTTTCACCAGTGACAATCCCCCTTTTAGTTAAGAAGATTACGGTAGAATATTTTCTTAAGTGATGTAATATATCAGGCTCGTCATGTACGAATAATCCTTATCGCTTTTCTTACTTACCTACAACTCATAAATGTGTTACGATAATCTCATCATCGATGTCATCCTTTTCGTCGTCAGTTTCTTCTGGTTCTGGCGGCATTACGACTTTGTTCCTTTCTGCTTCGGCCGCCCTCTTCTCCTTCTCCTTCTGCTTGCGGATTTTGTGTAGATGGTGGATTTCCACGGCGACGTAAAGCAGGAACCCGCACAGCAGCATGGCGAGTTGGACGTATAGCTTCATCCTAGCGCAGAGGTGTGTGCTGTAAGCGTAAGCTATTACGAAACCAACACTCTCCCAGAGACGATAGTTAGAGAAGGCCGCTTCTTTGTTACGTCGGAACAGAGTACCATAGAGTCCTGAAAACAACAAAAAAGGGTCAAAAATATTTTTTCGAACAATACATAATAGGATTATCGAAAAACGTCTTCATTGATGCATTAACAAATGTTCATTTTTTTTATTGAAAGGTAAAACTGTATCCTCTGGTGTAGGATAAATCCAAAAAAGCACTTTTCCTAAAAACCACAACTGCAATACTTTCCTCGATTCGGGTGTTTAGGAAAAGTACTTGTTTTGGATTAATACTCATTCAGTAACAACTTCAGAATAGACCTGTCAACCTATGCCAACCTATAGAATGACAGTTGATATTTAAATTATAAGGATAATGTCTTTTATTGGAAGTTGTGATATGCCGTTACTGTTTTCTGACATTATTTGAAGGTTATCAAATAACCTCCTTCATTGCTACTTTTCAAGCTGTACAAGATGGCGTTTATAATTTTCAATCCGACTTTCCGTTTTCTAGAAACCATCATAAATTTTTTAGTTGAACACGATAAAAAAATCAACCGGTATTAGTTAACAAAACAACTTCTTTGACGTATTACCGTAATGGTTTTATTGGTGAATTCTAAAATGAGATCTGAAATGGGCAACTTTTTCCAAATTTAACCGACTTTGGTATGGTTTCCATTTCTCTGCTAGCCCTGTAGCTCATCTTAGATAATATTGTGAAATGGAAAAGACTAGCTCTCAAGTTATCGAGTACGAATTCTAACAGACTATCGTTGTCACCAATATTACGCCTATGTGTGGTTCTTAGTGAATGAATAATTGGAATTCTTTTCAAATTCGTCTTTTTAATCATTAAAAATAACAACAGAACACTGTATTTTAAATCCACTTAATTGTAGTCATTTCACATGTCCACATTGGGTTTTTTCTTCTCGAACCCAAGTTTTGAATTAGAATTGAAACTATTTTAATCTGCCTCTGCAACTTGTCACTTCATTGATGACATTTTGTCTTCCTCGTCTGTTCACGATCGCAATCCAGTATTTTCGCGTTTGCGTAATTTCGCGTCCGCTTCTCAGAAACGATTTGACGCCAACGCGCGTGATTGACTACATGTTGTCAGTAGAAGTTAGTTCACTCGCTATCATCCCTCTATAGACACACTCTTTTAAACTTACTTCGTCTCGAATAACTCATCTGCTTAATTCTGACGTAACCTTTGGTTCCTGCATCCTGCATATATCACATTAAGTCGTTTATCTTCTTCGTCATCAAGTGAGGGCTTTTTCTTCTTCTCTGTACCTTGGGATATATTCTATTTTTCTTCTGGGGTCGCTATAACCACATGACATATCTCCTCGGTTGAATTCTGTACCGGTGAATTTCTAGTAAAAGTACTTCTTCATCTGGTAGTCGATAATATGAAGACACTTTCTCTTGAATGTATGAACTTTTTCCAATCGTTTTCAGATTTCTTCCAAAAACTCGGCTCCAGAGTAGTGTCACTACTGGGTGGCAAGTCAAATGGTAGGAGAGATGGTAGTTTCCTGCCAGTTATTCACATAGATGGACGAATAATGTTGGTACCAGCTTATGCCTTGTTTTTCTGATTTTCTGAAACGAACGTAGACAGGTACTGGCTTATTTTTTTGTTGTGTTGTTTTGTATAGTCGTACGTGACTTTTTCATTCCTAATATTTCTCTCGAAATTATGCTAAGGTTCTTTCGAAGCCGAAATGTCCTCCCACTCCATTGTTTCATTTTAGTTCTCCCAACCGTGAAACAATTGGCATCGTGGAGAAGTGAGGCTCGACCACTGAACCCAGTGAACAGTTGTTTGAAGGCTTGATGCCAATCAGGACGAAATTCGATGCTCAGCCAGCTTCAAATCAGCTTCAGATCATCTTTATATCGCGCTTGTTCCTATCTCACTCATTATCCATAGGTCTAGTCACTCCAAATCCGAAGCAGGGTCGGAACCAGTTCTTTCGTTACAAATATCAACTTCAAAGGCGTATTCTTTGCTGCCCATATTTCATTGGCGGATTTTATTTCCTTTCCGGGGTCGATGATCTCTGCTTTTCCTATGATCTGTGTTTTTCTCGGACATTAGTGATCTGTTGTCAGCCATCCAATCTATGTTATTTCTTCTGTTTTGTTTTGTTATGGGAGTAACATCTTCCTTCTCTTCGTTTTGTGGATACTTTTTCTAATATTCGTCTTTGATCGGTCTACAATCGGTACAAGAAATCGATATAATTATGAAAATTTGTGATTGTTTGAATGATTAGATATTCTAGCATACCGACTTATGTTCTAATTATTATGATTATTTTTCCTAGGGCACATTTTTATTGTGTGGTTTTCCTTGAGTGATACAAATCTATGCAATGAATATCCAATGATGTGGTTAAATGATATTTGCATAAATAGATTCCTGGACGGAAACTTAAATCCAAATGGAATTAACAGTTATTTTCATTGAATTCATTGATTATTGAGTGACTCTAATGACAAGAACTTTATATTTTTTTCGAAATACAAGTAACCTATGAAAAAGGTTATGAAAAGTATTTCAGAAGCAAACAATTTGAATTTCATATATTTTTTTGAGAAAAAGTAATGCAGTCATGAAAAAAAAAACATTAGTTTGAACCTCCGTGATAATGAAATGATATATGGTCCTTATTTATTACACTCTGATAAGAGGAAACTACACCTGAAATTCCTACTTTGAAGCGAAGTATACAAACGGATTACTCAATTAAAGACGTTACCGCGACTTCGATAATATTTTGGCTCATTTGAGGTTGCCAACCTTAAGGTTGTGCCGCTAGTTCTGGACGAGTTTTCATAACTTTGCAAATAGCATGGATCTGGTGATGAGTAGAACAAAATCCTGGCGTATTTTGTTATTCCATTTCTTCAGAAATCATTTGTGAACCCAACTCCTGAGAAATATGTTGGTATAGGCAGAGACTCATTACTGGTACACTGAGACGGGAACATATAATATCTCATCATTAGGTAACTATAGGATGTTAACACATGCATGCACTTTCATTCAAAGAATCCTTATTAGAATAAAATCCATTTATCTTCGTAACAAAATCACATTTCGAACCTAACATTCAGAAACATACTCATATCCCTTCAGCACAGAAAGTCGCATTATGGTTACTTGGTTTGACAATAGACTCAATTATAATTTTAATACATTCAGGAAAAGTCCCGTCAGCGTTATCAATCAATGACCACTTCCCACACCCCGAGGTAAGTGATCATTGGGTCCGGTAATCAGATGTCCTAAGTAGACGCAATGAGACAAGAATGACGTTCTGCCTTGTCCATTGTCTGGCCTTCGTGCGGCAAACCGGCAGATCTTGAGATTCGAGAGTAGTGTGGGTAGAGTCTGCGGAGTTCGAAGGGAAAATCTAGATATTATATCAGGAGCGAAAAACTCCACGATAAATATCGTTTTACATTGATGATCGAGAAGAACTATATCAAGCTGATTAGCTTGTATGATCCTGACGGTGGCGAACGAATAGTTTCAATAAACTTGTCACTTTTTATTTCCCACAACGGATTCAATATCCCCTGGTGAGTAAGGCTACATGTCTCGTTAATACCGTGGAAGTGTCGTATATGGTAATAACACACTCTCAGGGCCGCTTTATGTCGATGGATTATTTTTTATCAATATTATCATTACTATTATGAACATTTCAGAATTATTTTCGGGTTTGTTGGATGTGATCTGCAGGTTTTTATGTCTGACATTATGCCAGAGGTAGACATTATCAAAGGAGACAAGGCAGCATACGAAGTCCTCTATTTGTCCTCACAGTAGATATTACAACTTTGGTTTGGATTTTCGTTTCTACTTCATTGGTAGTACTGTATATAACCTAACTTCATAAAACATGTATGGAAAGCTCTAGAATTAGTTATTGTTGGAAATATCGGTATATTTCAAAATTCATATTTTCAACTCAACAACCAACTTACCAATATGATCAAGAAACTGCGGAATAACTGCTCATTATTGATACTATTAATGGGTTCAAGCTTTAAAATTGAAAATTATCATCTGGCAACGACATCACACTGAATTGGCATAATTTAAGCATTTATCTAAACTGGTGACTGTGTTCATTATTTTACTTGATATTTTCATGTTGTTTGTGATAAAATTCAGAAGCTGAAATACATACATTTTGTAATATCTATATTTCATACTCCATTGAATTCATATAAACATATAGGTATATACTCATGATATGCTGACATTCTCAACAACTTTTCCAATAGTGATTCGGAGATTCTTCATAACAATTTTTTACCAACAGACCACTTGGGCAATTAACTCACCATGAATTCATATTTTTCATTAGCGAACATTCGAATTCGTGACAGAACATGATGAATCGGTTTCAATATACCTAGGTTACTTTGGATTAATTGCGAGGTTAAATTTACATCTCTCTAATTTCTCACTAGTGTTCTTAATGATATTTCGTTCATATTCAGTGAACAGCTGAAGATAAAGATATTGATACGTATCAAGAATTTTGATTAGGAGTCAGTAATTTTCCTATATTTCACAACAATTTTATTAGATTTCTATTTGATTAAGATAACCGCTATTTCAACCTAGAAATTGAAAGTGCGAAGCCAAGTAATTAAGTAAATTCCGCTATTATTTCCAAATACACAAACATGGGTATGCAAGACTTCACACTTTCACAACATGCACGAAATTCTTACCATAGTCAATACATGGTGATTGGAGATATTAATGAAAATGTCAAAAAAAATTGAATGTATATAATTACGTTATTTTCAAAAAATTCATACATTTGCAAATATGTTTCCAACTTTTTTTATACTCATGATACCTCATTTGAAACAAATTCCAAACTCCATTCAACCTGCAATGTTTTTTCAAACTCTTTTGTATATATGTGGCTCATATTGTATGACAGTGGTCATTTCATATCTATACAATTATCGTTCAACCACATTTTGTTCACGTCAGACATTGAAAGATTCCTTA